TAAGCAGAATTTTCTTTTTCAAGTGGAAAAAGTAGTTTACAGAATCATAACTTTATTGTAATTTAAAGTCACTGATTTAATTAACAAATTGCTTACAGAATTGTAGAGTCTTTACATGGATGTTTATGAATCAGGTAATTTTAATGTTCAGTACAGAGACGTTAACAAATTCATGTTTAGATTTGTCATTTTGAAATTGTTTTAAATCTCAAGCTTCAGGTCATTTTTATAAGTATTCCTCTAGCCTACAGTTTGATTTTGGTCAGCAGTGCTGACGTTCTCTTAAAATGATTTTTAGGTGCCCGCCCTTCACTGTGAGGGATGACAGTGCAGTACAATGATATCATCTACCAAAGATGGAGCCAGGTGTGGGCTCAGCTGCTTACTGATTGGAGGTCAAGTTAGTCAGTTGCTTTTCACTTACAGCTTCAGCGTTCTCTTCTGCAAATTGGGGTAGTAATCATCTTCATGAATAGCTGAGAGAATAAATGGGAGGATACGTGTACATAGTTTAATATCTGATATTTGTTAAGCAACTAATAAGTGTTAGCAGTAAGAGGAAATGGTAGTGTGTATCCTGTATGTCCCTGCTCCTCCTCTTTCCATCTCTCCTTTCTGGAAGGAAATAGAAACTAATATTTTATTACTACTTTGTGTGTGTGTTTATATTTATATGTGCTCATCTTTCTCTTTATATGTCTTTAATTTTTAAGTTAACTCACTAAGAAAGCTACTGTTCCCATTTCTTTTGATTTTAAAAGTATTTTCAAAATAAACTCCATATAACGATCTAGGTGTAATTAAAACACGTTTCAATAAAGCATATTTTAGTGATTTCCCCATCCACTTCCCATTTCTCCCACTTTTCTGGCACCCCCCATCCACCATCCTCGCAGGCTTTCTTTTTTTTATAACACTTGAAAAATCTCTCATATATAGAATCCAAGTCGTTCATCCTAGACCAGATACTATATAAATGAAATTTTACTCAAACATCAACACTTTGCATGGTCCTCTAACTGCCCTGTGGCTTACCCTCTAGGGAAGCCTCAGTTCAACACAGATAAGTTTAAGGTGAACTGATACAGCAAATAGAGTGCTTTCCTCCTTTACGGTCAGGCGCGTAGCGGTGGGTCAGCTTGTGAACGACATGGGTATGACACCTTCCGGCATCACAGCCTTCCTTCTTAGCTGAACTGGAGTAGACGGTGCTCATTTCGGAACCTCTAGGTTCTGAGAATCTGGGTTGCCCATTTCTGTTACATTTCATTAGAATGTCACCAGTGCTTGCTGGGCTGTTGAGGAATTTGGCAGATGGAGTTGAGAAAAAAAATTTTTTTAAATCATAGAATGTTTGTGTGTTGGAAAGTGTTCTACCTGGAGTGGACATTGTTTTGACTCAGCAAGAGAATTTTCCCCCAAAGACATTTTGCCTCCTTCTGCCTTGGAATGACCCTTTATAACTTCCTTCTGTGGCATTCCTACAAAAAATCAGTCATTTCTACCAAAAGCACCATTATATGCAATGGGAGAGTGCAGGCTTTGGAGCCAGCCTGACTTGTATTCAGATGTATTATTCCCTTACTTATTGGCAATGCGCTGAGTAGGGAGGGTGTTAATTATTACTGACTTCAGCTGTATGCCAGATGTTCTTAATTTATTAACTTATAAACTTTGCAATTGCCACAACTTTATAAAGGAATTGTTACCATTTTTAATGTCAAATTGTATGCTCAAAGAGGTAAACTTGTAGCCTGAGTTGTTCCTGTAAAGTTTGATCTTCCCCACAGGTTAATCATTGCTAGTGTATATGGATTGTACCTTGAGTAAATGAATGAATACTTGAGCCTCAATTTCCTCACCCTAAATAGCTGTGTGCAAGTGCTGGTATGAAGATTAAATAATACACTTGAAGTATTTATCAAGATCACTGCATCTTAGAAGTACCTATTTTTTTCCCTAGAAATAGTATTTCTCCCCTTCCTTAAATAAATAAAAATCACAGAAAAATAAAAGAATTAATACCACCTTTGCATGCTTTAAATTGCTTGGTAATTTAACTTTTTGTGTTGATATTTTTTAACCTATAGGAAAGATAGAACAATAATACAGTGAACTTCTGTGTATTATTCATCTAAATTCTCCATTTGCTAACTTTTTGCTGTAGTCGTTTTATCTTTGCATATCTACAGGTATAGAAATATTTTTATCAAACTCATTGACACTAAGTCACAGATGTCACCATACTTTTGTCTCACTTTACGAATAAGAGCATTCTCTCATAAAATAGTGTGTTTATCAAAATTCGTCATTTTGTGATGGCGCATGGCTATAATCTTAGCATTGCATAAGCCAGAGCGGGAGGATTATGAGTTCTGGGCCAGCCTGGTGCTGCATTGTAATCCAAGAATAATGGGGAGGGGCTTGTAAACTGCATTAATAGACACTGGATCTATTGCAGTTGATTATCATTTTTTTTTATCAACAACCCAATAGTCATCTTGTACGTAATCTTCTCCCAGTGGATTATTATGGCCTGCGGGTTTCTTATTCTACTTGTGGTTTTTAAACTATGACTACTTAATGCATTGGGTCATTTTTTCTTTGGGTTTTCTGTCCATCCCCAGAATCAGTGTGAAACCATTGTAAACATCTTGAGGAAAATAGAAGATATTTCTACTTTGTTTCTCAGAGGTAGAATACCAACAAATACCCGGGCACCTGTAATGTGTGCTGGGGTTGTGTAGAACAGTGGAAACAGGGTATTTAAAAGATACATGTACTTTGTCCTCAGGTGAGGTTACAGATGAGTCATTAGACCACATGGTCTTGCTGAGCTCTGAGGAGGGTTTTCTGGAGCCATGCTAGAAACCACACACAATTTGGGACTCGCAAGAATGTTTGAAAACAGTATAAATTACCTTTGACAGTAAGATTAAAAGTTTGAAATCTGTTTCAGGATCTGCTTAAATGTGACAATTTAAGACACTTAATACTGTCTAATGTAATGAAATGATGTCTATACTGCATAAATGCAAGTTAGTAATAAAATACTTTGCTTTCATCATGGTGGTAGTTTTCTCACCATGATCTAAAAAGGGGAGGTAGAGGAAGTGGTAGAGATCTCTGTAGACCTTTCTGTACTATTTTAGTTCCTTCATCTACAGGTCTCCATTTCACTCACTTTTAAAAAGGTCTTAACCAGGGCATCCGAACTCACCAACTGAGAGAAACAGAATCTCTCTAGTGTATTTGTAGGTATGCTTTTGTGTTCTGCCAGACTTGGTTTAGTTACAATAAAATCTTTGTGTACAGTTTCCAATGTAGACTTTAGGTAATAACTAGGCAGAAGTTACAGCTTAGGAACAACTTAATCACTAATGGTAGATACAGGAAAGGCTTCTACTCAAGACAGTGCTGAGTAGTTACGCTGCAAATGGGAAGTAGACTGAACAAAGAAAGTGACTTTAAAATGAAAAATGTGCTGACTCCGTATAAAGAAGGTCTATGCTTTGAGAATGGTAGAATGTATGGGTGGACCTTAGTAAAGCAGGAGTGGGCAGTAACAGGCAACACAAGCTTGCACCTTCCCTGTGTTAAGCCCTTCATGTTCACTTTATCCATTTCTTGAACTAATGTTTGAACTGTCATATCCCTGTGTACAGATTATAGAGCTAAGATCCAGAGAAATTAAGACACTTTATGACATTATATAGCCAAGAAATTCAGTGCTTGGATTTGAGTCCAGAAATCTCAACTCTGCATTGTATACATTGTATCTGATTAACAGAAAAGACACAGTGCAGATTAGAGTGGCCAAGAAGTACAGCTGAAAACAGAAGAAGCTCCTTAACTTGAAGTGTGTGCCAAAATATATTCAGTGAGAATATCAAATTGTGTGATACACTGTGTGCGGCATCCCTGTTTGTTTTAAACTCACAAATCCCTTCAGCATAAAACCAGTGTACCTGATGCATTGCAAGTAGACACAGACATGGGTGACTTTATGAGCAGAGGTAAAGTTACAAGTGCTGTGTGTGACCTTTATAGAAGAAAGCCACCTGCCTTGAACAAACCCAGTGGATACACTAGCAAAACATTGATGAGAGAGAACTTGTTACTCCTTTTTGTGTTCACTGGTTTTAAAATGTTTTCAAGTAAACCTTCCTTCCTTATTACATCTGATGTTTCCTACATTTGTCAGAAAGATAGTTTCATGTTTTTAGTCTTAGGCCAGAAGTTGTTCATGTCTGTACTCAAATCAGCTTTATTTGTATACCACATATATTCATAATATAATTTAGCAATGTCGAGTTTTATTTTTATGTTTTTTTTTGTTGTTTTATTTGTTTGGTGCTGGGGATCAAACCCAGGATCTTACAGAACAATCAAGCCCAGGTGTTCTACCACTGAGCCACATAACCAGCTGAATTTTGTAGAAGCAGAGCTTCATTTAAAATGGGGTTTTCTAAGTGTGTTGAAGAGAATAGTATATATAACGTTGTAGTTTTCCCCTATGTAGTTGATACAAGAATTTTGAAGGTGTCTCATCTACCTAGTGATTCAAAGGAGTATCTTAAGGGGTTGGGGTGACTGGTTCTTCCCTTCCTAATGGAACTGAAGTTTGTTAGCATATAGTGTAGCCTCTTTATAATCCAGTCTTAATAGGCCTTGCTACTATTGAAGATCAGGTTGAAGCCATCGTCCTTATAGTTCATTATTTGATTAGTAGCATGATATTAACTATTTAAAGATTCCAGATTTCCCTGTCGTGATCAAAAGAACATCCTTAGGAAATTTTCCTAAACGATTTCTGCTCTCTTGCAAAGAGGAAAAGAGGATAGAGATACTTGTCATATGCTTGAATCATTGGGGCCACATAGACCCATTTTCTGCTCTGAAGGCTCAGAGATTGATCAGAAATATTACATCATCTTAGAATGTGAAATCAGTGCCTGGTAGTAGAATTTGTGTGTTAACCGGAGATTGCTTACTTGCAGGGAAAATGCTGGTGAACCAGATTCCTGGAGCAGTTTATCCTATGAAATCCCTTACGGAGACTGTTCGGTGAGGCACCATCGAGAATTGGACGTCTATACGTTGACTTCTGAATCTGAATCACATCGTGAATCCCATGGAGACAGTTGTACTGGACATATTTTTAAACTTATGAATATCCAACAGCAGCTAATGGTAAGGGAACGTTTTCATTTTTAGTTAGTTGTCTGCCTATCCCCCTCCCCCAACAAGTCTTGATATAATTAGAATGTAAATTGATAAAGCATTGTTAGTTTTCAGTGTTGGTGTGCTGGTTAGTATTTTGTCACCTTGACACAAGCTAGAGTCATTTTGGAAGAAGGAATCTCAATTGAGAAACAGCTGCAAGGGCTTAGCCACTGGGTGGGTAGTCTAGGGTTGTATGAGAAAGCTGAGCAAGCTATGGGAAGCAAGTCAGTAAGCAGCATTCTCCACAGTCGATCAGCTCCTGCCTCCAGGTTCCTGCTTGAGTTTCTGCCTTTATATCCTGCAATGATGGACTATACCTGAGAGTTGTAAAATGTAGTGAACCCTTCCCTTCCCAAGTCAGATTTGGTTATGGGGTTTATAACAGCTATAGAAAGCAAACTGAGGCAGTTGCCACTTACGATACAGAACTAGCAGAGGACTGTAGCTAGAGTTTTCCCGCCTGGCCCACAGTCAGGACAAATCTCTCTCACTTGCCAGTCCCACAGCCGCTCAGACCCAACCAAGTAAACACAGAGACTTATATTGGTTACAAACTGTATGGCCGTGGCAGGCTTCTTGCTAACTGTTCTTACAGCTTAAATTAATCCATTTCCATTAATCTATACCTTGCCACATGGCTCGTGGCTTACCGGCATCTTCACATGCTGTCTGTCATCATGGCGGCTGGCAGTGTCTCTCTGACTCAGCCTTCCACTTCCCAGCTTTATTCTCCTCCTTGTCCCGCCTATACTTCCTGCCTGGCCACTGGCCAATCAGTGATTTATTTATTAACCAATCAGAGCAACACATTTGCCATACAGAACATCCCACAGCAGAGGACTGGGATTTTCTTTCCTTCCTTCCTCCCTTCCTCCCTCCCTCCCTCCCTCCCTCCCTCCCTCCTTTCCTTCCTTCCTTCCTTCCTTCCTTCCCTCCTCCCTTCCCTCCCCCCTTCCTTCCCCCCTTCCCTCCTTCCTTCCTTCCCCCCTTCCCTCCCCCCTTCCTTCCTTCCTTCCTTCCTTCCTTCCATCCCTAACCCAGAAGCTATCGTCAGTCAATAACTGCTCATAAAGGAAAAATTAGTTTTCTCCAATAGTCTCACTGGGTATACAATCCCACTTAAGGACAAGTCCCATGCCCAGCAGTGGGTAGTCAGCACAAAACAAACTTAATTTTGGTGTGCAAATGTTTGTGTCCCTGCACCTCTGTGTTTCCAGCGCTTTTTATTTTGGCTCTTTTTTTTCTCTTTGTTTGTTTGTTTTGTCCTATTCTGGTTTGCTTCTTTTTCTTCTATTTTATTTTATGTGTTTTGTTTTAGGTGCCTGTTCGTTTTCTAATGAAAGAGAGAATGAAAGTGTGTGGATTTGGGGAGCTGGGGGAGGGGAAAGTGTGATTAGAATATATTGTTTGGAAAAAAAATATCTATTTTCAGTGTGTGTGTGTGTGTGTGTGTGTGTGTGTGTGTGTGTGTGTGTGTACGCCCTTTTTACTGGGCTTGTGTATGGAGATCGGAAGACCAGTGTTTGAGTTGGTTCTCCTTTGGTTGTGGGTTTGGGGGATTAACTTAGGTTCTCAGGCTTGCATGACAAGTGCATTACTCATTGAGCCGTCTTGCTGGCCCATACAGCTGGGATCTTTAAATTTGAAATTCCTCCCAAATTGCTGAAGTAGCGAATGATACTCATAGTCACTACAGATGTGCAGACGTATAGCGAGTAGACCAGAATGTCATAAGAAGACATGTTTTTAATGTTTTAGAATGATAGGAGGCCAGAATTTCTAGATTGTTGCTAAAGACCAAGAAGGGAACTGACTCCTTAGGAAAATCCTTTCACCACTGTTCAGGGAATGATGATAGAGCTGCCATGTTTAAATAAATAGTTGACAGTTTAAAAGGTCATCTGAAAACTAAGGGTTTTATAATCCACTCAAACATTGAAGATAAAATGGTTGCCAGACATAAAATCATTACAGACTCCTTGGTAGCATTTATTGTGGGTAATATAGACGTCATATGGCTGCATCTCTCTGGACTGTAGCATCTGAGAAGCTAAGTTTAGGTAATTTTTCCACCCAGTTTATTTCAAAGCTGATTTGATTTGGAAACAGCCTGGTAATAATTTTATTTAAGGTCATCTAGGGCCAGCTCGATGCCAGGGGCGTCTTTGGGAGCAAGCATTATTTCTGAGACAAGTGCGTATGTCTATGCATCCTGTGCATGCAGTGCTCTCAGAGGGCAGAAGAAGGCATTGTATGCCCTGGACCTGGAGTTCAGTGAGTTGTGAGCCATCATGTGAGTCCTGAGAGTAGAAACCAGGTCTCTTGGAAGAGCAGCCAGTGTTCTGAGCCATCTCTCCAGCCGCCTTCTGCCTTTCTGAATGATAATTGTTTCCAACCTGCCATTTTCCTTTGAATAGACTGTTTTGAAATTATTTTTTTCGCTTTTGAACTCTCATTTAACGGATAGTCATCTAATTAAGAAAGCTCAGCTTGCACATTTCAACATTACTTTGACTATTCTTTAGGCAGCACTGTCTACTTGTTTCTCTGGTCTGCGATGTTCACCTTTCATCAAGGGTGTTGATTTGCTGTCCTGACTTTTAGGCGAAGTGTTAGCCTGCTGATTTTGAATACTCTTAAGGAATATAGCATAGACACATTTAGGGTAAAGTCTGGGTTTTGGCATACTCCTCTCATAGCAAGGATAACACCTGTTACTCTTACCTGCAAACTTTACAATAGCTTTAATGAGCAGGAACAATCTGATGATATACTACTCAGTATATTTACAGATTAATAATGGGTGTATATAAAATTATTTCAATAGGCAAATAATAAATGGAGAACAGATATTTTCAAATAATTATGTACCAAGTAGATAGTACTGTAACAGTCACTGAATTTTGATATTATAAACTCATTAAGGTTTGACTCTGGTTGGTGTCTGCTTTCCTGAGCCTTGTCTGCATATCCATGATATTTTTATATTTATTTTTAATTGTGGAGGGGCAGGGGTACATGTCAGGGAGTATGTCCACATAAGTGCAGGTGCACTAGAGGCCAGGGAGGCTTTTGAATTCCCTGGAGCTGTAGTTAGAAGTGGTTGCAAGCTGCTTGATGTAGATAGGTCTAGTGCTGGGACTAGAAATCTCAGGCCCTCTGCAAGAGCAGTATGCGCCCTTCAGTACTGAGCAATCTCCCCAGTCCCTTTTCTGCTTACTTTATAACTTTCTATTAACTGTAAATTTTATTTAGCTTTTCAACATTCTCTCTCTCTCTCTCTCTCTCTCTCTCTCTCTCTCACACACACACACACACACACACACACACCCACACACACACACAAACACAGACACAGACAGTAGTAGAAGATAAATTAGTCTTCATAGTTTATATAACAGTGTTGCATTCTTTCTATGAACTGTAATTGTTTTAGCCATTTCTTTCATATTTGCTGTATTTATATAATAATATAAAAAACTCATAAGCTATGCATGATAATGTGAACCTATAATCCCAGTGGTCAGGAGGCAGAAACAGGAGGATTAAACAATTTTGTAGCCAGCCAGTCTACATAGCAAGTTTCTCCTACATAGTGAGGGCCTTATCTCAGAGAACAAATAAGCAAACAAAACTACATTACCCAATAATTTTAAGGTGGCAAAAACTATTTTTTGATAAGATTTTTTTTTTTTTTTTTTTTTTTTTTTTTTTTTTTGGTTTTTCGAGACAGGGTTTCTCTGTGTAGCTTTGCGCCTTTCCTGGAACTCACTTGGTAGCCCAGGCTGGCCTCGAACTCACAGAGATCCGCCTGGCTCTGCCTCCCGAGTGCTGGGATTAAAGGCGTGCGCCACCACCGCCCGGCGATAAGATTTTTAATACCATGCAGCTCACAGGACCCTTGACAGTAGTTGGTAGTATATGTTCTCTTTTACTTAAGATTTAGTATGGATACCACAAAAACCACTTTTTATCAAACTGATACATAGTCTCCCTAATTCTGAACCTACTTAGTTCATGTATGTTGAGTTGAACATGTTTTGAGGATATGGTTATGTGGCTGAATATTGTGATTGAAAAGAGTTCTAAAACTGGTTAGGTTTTGGATTTACATTAATATTTGAGGCAGATGGAAGTAGACTCTGTGCCTACGGATCCTTGTTGACTGTTATTTGAAGATGCTTTTTAAAAACAAGGCTTTTGAGGCCTCATTTTTTTTTTTTTTTTTTTTTCCGAGACAGGGTTTCTTTGTGTAGCTTTACGCCTTTCCTGGAACTCACTTGGTAGTCCAGGCTGGCCTCGAACTCACAGAGATCCGCCTGGCTCTGCCTCCCGGGTGCTGGGATTAAAGGCGTGCGCCACCACCGCCCGGCTTGAGGCCTCATTTTTAATCTGTTTTTTAATATGGAAATCAGTCACTGAGTAGAATCTAAATAAACTTACATCCCAGTTAACACACAGATGTGGACAGAGGTTGCTGCCTCCTGAGTTAACTGAGAAGGCTTGGAAAGACCGTTCTGTCCAACAAGGCTTTGCTTGCAGGTGCCAGTGGCATCTTTTTCCCCTGGCCGGTTTTGTTTTGTCGTTCCCCCTCCCCTTTCTTTTCATGGTCCTTTTTTTCAAAAGTGTCTCTGGTTTCCTCCTAGAAAACAAACTTGAAGCAGATGGACAACCTTATGCCTTTAATGGTGACAGCACAAGGTTCTCCCAGTGTGCCCAGTGCCCCAGAGCCAGATGGCCAGTTCCTTTCCGGTGCCCCAGAGCCTTCTGACCACCAGCAGCTCTCTTCTGAAGAGACCAAGAGCACTCTGTGCTGCCGAGGGAGTCCTGGGAGGAAGGCTGAAAGGTCCTGTGATTTGTCAAGTGCGGCTGAGGAGAAAAACGTAGCCTGTTCTCCTAAGAATAAAGATGTGGTAGGGAGGAAAGGGGAAGAGGAGGAGCCAGCATCTGCCGTGGGCTCCAGCTCTGCTGCATCTCATCAAGACAGCTGCCTTCAGAGCATACCCGACTGTGGATTAAAGGCCACAGAAGGCCTTCCATCCTGTGGAAACAGAAATGAAGTAACTGGAACAAAATATTCTGGAGTGGCCACAGGTCAGCAGCCCCCGAGCAGCCGGGGCAGTGTGCTTCAGGAAGTCATGGTCACAGAGCCAGGGAGATGCCAGCATTCTTCTGGAAGGGAGCTCCTAGACAGATCTTCAACAGATGCTGGTGCCCCAGAGAATGCAGGGGAACTAGAACCTAGCTCACTGAACCCAAGTGCTACCATCCAGAAGAATAAGCATCAAGTAGGGGAAGGCACAGAGGGAGGATTTGAGAATTCTGATGTCAGCACGGCTGAGGCATCCGGTGTTCAAGCTTTACACGAACCTGTGGAGAAAGCCAATATTACAAACCATGTCTTTGCCACCAGCGCCCTGGGTGCCAACATGGCTGCTGAGTCTTTGCCTGCCTTGAGTCCTGGAGAAAGCCTCATTGAGAAAACTGGAACGGAAACTCGGGAGGGAAGTTGTGAGGAGAGAACTGATGCTCTAAGTGTCCAGAGCTCTCTGGTGTTTCCAGCTGCTGCGAAAGACAAGATTTCAGGTGGACCAGCACCTGATGCTCCCCTAGCAGGCCTGTGTGAGACACCATCACCCTTGGCTTTAACCTTTTCTGGGTCAAAACCAGATGGGATGCCAAACCAGAAATCAGAATCTAATTCATGGCATGCTCCAAGCCAAAACAGCCAGGCGCTGCCCTGTTCTCCAACTGTGGCTGGTACATCTTGTACTGCGTCTTCATGTCAGCAGAACACAGTGACTTCTAGTGGCGAGTTGGTTGTAAAACACTGCCATGGTGAAGTTAGTCTGCGCGATAGCACAGTAGTGCAGCCAAACACGCAGGATCCATGCACCGCCCTCGGCCCAGAAGACCCACAAGCAGACACAGTCACTTCTGACACTGTAGAAACTACCCAGGAATCTGTGGGGGTTTGTCCTCCCTGTGTTCTACATGCAGAGAGCCAGGGAGAAGATTTAAAACAAGATCCACCTTTAACAAATATGCTGGAGGATATTTCACATTTGCCTTCAGTTGTCCCCCAAACCGAGAAAGAACAAGTGCCAGACTGGGTATCACCACCAGGCAGCAGTTTCTCTCTGGCAAGCAGTCCAGAGAGTGAATCAGTAACCAAAGATGACGCACTTTCTCCTGTCCCCTCCCAGAAAGAAAAGGGAACAGCAACTCCTCAGCTCCATAGAGCTATAGCTTGTAGAGATGGCCCAGATGGAGATTCAAATGATCCTGGTAAGCTAGGAGACAGGGCCACTGGCCCGTCTACACCCTCTGCTGTAGAGCTTCAGCCCAGCATGGGGAATACCAGCCCCGTAAGCTTTGGTGGAGATCACGAGGGCCCCGGGCCAACAGCGACACCCGAAGTTCTGAGCGACTCTTCACTACAAGGTGTGGATAAAGCTCTTTTGGTCTCTGACTCTCTTCTGCCTGAAGAAGGTGGCAGTCTGGTGCTTTCAGAGAGCTCAGCAGCTCTGGGGCAAGATGACAAGGATAAAGCAGTGAGGTGTTCCTCCGTTGAAGAAGACATGCATTCTTCAGAAATGTCAAGGGAAAAGGAGCGAACACCACCTCCTGGCCAAGAGATAGCAAGGTCATGTGGAAACCCTGTGCCAGCTGTGTGTGCTGGGGAGAAAGCAGTACAGCCCAGTGCCTCACCAGGCACACCCTCTGCCGGTCTGAAAACAGAAACGAACCACAGCAAGGAAGTGGCCCCACAGGTCTCCCCGCCGACTGAAGGTGGGGCTAGAAAGAGCCTGGTGCCACCAACAACAAGTCTGGCTGCAGATTCAAAGCAGAAAGCCTCAGATACAGAGCAGAGCAGTTCATCTCTGTTGCCAGCTCTGCTTCCAGATGGGTCTGAGGCCCTTCATTGTAATCGGCCTTCTGCTCTGGATGTTGGTGTGGATACTCAGTTCCAAGAGAAAGCCCATGCTTGTGAGGTAAGCAGAAATGTGATGGAAGATGTTCCAGTGCCTAATGCTTTATCAGCTCCTGCTAAGCCCAGAAGTGAGGATATAGCACACCCCGTCAAAGACAGTCCAGTTTCAGAGTTGTTTAACCAAGAGAAGAAAATGACTCCACGTCTGCCAGAAGCTTTACTGGACAAAGGTGTCACTGGCTCACAGGAAGTCATAACCCCAGAGATAGTACCACTTGATTGCAAGGGAGAAAAACTGGAGGGAACAGACCTCAGCTGTGCCATGAGTAACTCTAAAGAAGCCCCAAATGATGAAGATACAACGCAGCCTCTTGCCAGGGACCTCCCCACAGATCCAGGACCCTCAGCTCTCAATGACAGTGTCCTCCCAGCTGACTTGAAGCATGTCACACAGACCTCAGTCCAGGGAGAGGAAAGGAATGCCGCCTCTCTACCTGGAACCCAAGCTGCACCTGTCCCTACGGGGGCCGACCCCATAGAGGAGACCGCCACTCGGATAGTGGAGGCTGTCATCGAGCGAGTCAGGGCCTCCAACACACTGTTGGCTAAAGGAAAACTCAGTAATCCATCACTGTCCATCCCAGAGACTGAGCAGCTGCAGAACGTTTGCGCAGAGAGTACATGTGCTTTCCTACCTGGGGAGACCCTGCCAGTGGATAATACTCATGCGGAAACCACTGGGAACTGTGTTGTTGAAACAGAGGAACCAGAGAAAATGGTTCCACCTGTCGACAGGCCTGAGCCAGCACCAGGTAAGTAAGCTAAGCGTTTTATAAAATTAACAGCTTCAGAAGCATGTTTCTGTTATGTACCGGTAAGAGTGTGGGTGTCGTTACTGTTTTAAGGTCTGGCTTGCTCAGTAGTGTGAGCTGCCAAGTTCATAGTCAGTACTGTCAGGAAACACGTGTCATCTTGAGTTGGACAGATTTTACTTCCTGTATTATAGACGCAAAGCTTGGGGGTTTTTTTTAGCTTACACTGGAGCCGTGACAGTGTCTAAATCCGGAAGACAGTACCTGCATCTGAGATGGTGTCAGTCAGACAATTTAGTTCTTTTTCTTTAGAACCATGGAACACAGTGCTGAAATGAATGTGCTTTGTCTACAAATTAGAAACTCTCCCAAGTCATTGTCTGTATGTAACGTAAGGGAATTTAAAAGTCAGGCTGCCTTTCCGAACAGCTGTTTTCAAGAAGTGCTCTTTTAAATGAACATCTAAAATGGTGATATTAGGTCACTGGTGGAGTCGGGGATTTGTACTCCCTCCTTTTCCTGCCCGGGGAACAGACTCCCAGGTTTGCCGCCTCGCCTTCGGGCAGAGTCTGGGAATGCAGGGTCCTGCACAGCACAGGGGTAGGATACAGGATTTCCGCCCAGGCCCAGCCTGCTGTGCTGCTGTCAGACGGGCAGACCTTGTGTCTGCTTATCTTGGTGAAGCAGCTGCACTGGGCAGATTGCTCAACACAGGCGGCCTGTTCCATCGGTGGGTAACCATGTCGAGAGAGAGCAGAGAGAAACCACCAGTGCTCAGTGGGATGAACTCGCTCAGCAGAGCTGCTTACGGTTTTTGAGACTGAAGCTGAAACTGGAGTCGGAATGGCTGTCCATCTTGTCTTCTGAAGTCCCTGAAGGTCAGTTGGATGCAGACTTTTATGCCACCACCTGCTACCAGCTGTACCATGCCTCTCTGATGCTTTTTTGATAGGTTTTTTTTTTAACTGTTGGCAATGCTTTTAAGTATAATGCATGTTAGAATTGGGGGGGGGGGGGGGGGCGGGGGGTTGGAGAGAAATGAAATGAACAAATGAAAAACAAAGAAATTCTTTGGGAAGACGGGATTTAAACACGATGCCTATGCCCTGATGAAGGGCTTTTTGGCCGTTTTAAAGCCCAACTTCCAGCAGTGGTTAAGTGATTTAAGGAAGCTGAGGTGGGACTTCAGGTTTTTTAATTTAGTACTGTTTTAGGTTGACATCTATCTCAACATTGAAATGAGGTCTCTAATACTTAAGACAAGGCACCAGGACACATCTATTTTGGGGGCCTTGGCAGGTTGTCATTTCAGAAGCCTGGGAGTGGCTGTAAGTTGATGCCTGACTGTTTTCCTTTCTTTGGGTGCTCTGTCCTTGGCCACCCTGGGTGGGATTAGTTCTCCTTCTTGTTCTGTGATCACAATTTGACCCTAGCAACTGTGAACTATGAAGTTTGTGTCTGTATCACTGGATCAGAAAAGGTAAAAAAAAAAAAGAAAAGAAAAGAAAAGAAAAAAAAAACCGGCAGAATCTTAGACTTTTGTTTTTAAGTATATACAACTGTAATAAAGATACTAAGAAATGGTGTGAAGTTCTGAAGAAAGAAGCTTTGAAAGTTAGTGAGTTCGGGGTTGGGTATCTTGTGTAGATGGGTTACTTGTTTTGTTACCAAAAGGACTCAGTAGGGTTGGTGCTCAGCCTCTAACTTCAAAAAAAAGTAGCCAGTGGTAAAGAAATTGGTGCTTTCTTCACGAAATAGCCAGGGTTGAGGAAAGTCCCTGGTTATGTTGCCTTAGAAAAAAAAAGCACCTGAGTGTGATCTCATAGCCAAGGGTATTTTTTGTGAAGGTTGGGTTTATTCATGGATTGTTTTATGGGTCAAGTTTAGTTGTTGATTGGGAAGGAGCCTGTAAAAGAAGGGAATGTGACCCTGGCCTCACCGAAAGCATTGATTGATCGCCGAGTCTAGAAGGTTGATGGTGCTTGACCAAACCAAGCTAATCTTACAGTCTTCAGTGATCAGTTTACGGTTGTCGCTGGTCCATATTTCCCATTGATTGCATATAGGAAAGGTGAGGTTATGCTAAAAATCACATTCCTCGGTAAAATAAAAACCATATCCCCCTTCACACACACAGTTTCTCTCTCTCTCTCTCTCTCTCTCTCTCTCTCTCTCTCTCTCTCTCTCTCTCTCTCAGAAAAGGTTTTCTTCGAGGGTTTTTTGTAAAGGGGATTACTTCAATTTTTTTTTTTCTTAATGAAACTTGATTGTATGAAAGCTAACAGATTTTAGTTCTCTGGACAAGCAAACTTGGCTACCTATTTTAAATTGCTAGTAAGATTGTATAATTATAAAAGAAAAGACAGTAGAAAGAATTATGAATGTTCTTTTGTTAGAGATGTGACTTTCCCAATCAAAAATCTTCTAGAGGGTCAGGCAATGCTGTTATTGTGAATGTATCTTAATGTGATTTATTCTTTGATGAGAGCAACCTCAGTCTTTTAGATGGGGATTGCTTTTATTGCCAGAGTAGTAGCATTGGGAGATTATTAACAACCACATGGAAATGAGGCAGACTTTCCATTTATATTTGGAAAATGAAGGTAAATTTTGGCTATTCAATCAGCTATTTCCTCTTTAAAGAAATGTCAGAAGTCTAAATTTGCCTTAAACATCATTATCATCACTTCCTGCTTTTGCTTGACCATGTGGTGGCCCAGTAAGAGAAACTATTATTGTTGGGTCTGTTGAGAGCACGGTCAGTATAGGGACAGACTATTTAATACTGAAACAACAACAGAAAAATTAAAAAAGCTTTTTTTTCAGAAGGAAAAGAGTGTCTGATTCTTTACTATATTTTGCTTTTGGAAGAAATAATAGTTTAAAAACATAATTTACTGAAATTATCCAGTCTTACTAATTAAATTGACAGTATAGACCAGGGTCTATAATATATTTTTTTAAGTGATTCTCATCCCAGAAGCTCATTCTCATTTCAGTGGCTTTCCATTTTATCTGTACAAATATATTTTGCTATAATGGTGTCTAAAATGTGCTGCCTTATTTCAGATATTAGTCTGTACCCTTTTAGTTTATGAGTTTACTACTGACACACGAGTTTTCATAGCTTTTCATGAAAAGTCATTAATGAAATGGACACTTAGTAGACATCGAGTTGAAACTCCTTTAGCTCTAAATTCATTTAAAAACTGGGAACCGGTCACAGAACCATGTGATTAGTAGCAGCTCAGTGTGGAGTCATAAATGGCACCAGCTCCTGCCATTTCATGGAAAACCAAACACAACAGATGAAACCTGGAGTTTGTTGTGTAAATACTAAAGCACATAGGAACCTTTTTTTTTTTTTTTTTAATCAAGTGCACTCTCTGAATAACCCATATTCTCTTCAGAAATGCCAGACACTAAAGCTGAAGATGAAGTGGATTTTCTGAGTAAAACCAGAGCTCCTTCTGAGGAGGAGGCTGTCGGAAATGGAACTACCACACCCAAGACGAAGCAAGGCCCTGGGACCCAGGCGGTAAGTGGTATCTGCAGGCCTGTGTGGACCGAGTGTTGCAGCTTGCTCTGCTTTTGTGACCTCTAGCCTCCGTTTTTGCAATAGGATGGCATATATCTGTGGTTTTTTTCCTTCCTTTCTTGTTTGCTTTTGAACTGAAGGATATGTTTTTCTTAAACTTGTGTTGGTGCCATCAAAGCTCTGGAATTGTCTCCCCTACATGAGTCCTTTGGAGATGACAGTGAAAACATTTTTCCTATGAGCACAAGGCTTTGAAACTGTCGGCACATTTACGGTGACACAGCAAGAATGTACACCAAAGGGCATCCGTGCGCCTCATCAAACGTGGCTTGTTCTTTATGTCTTCATGGTGAAGGGCACCATAAAGTGTCTAAGATATGAAGAATGTCAGTGTAAGCCAAGAAGAAAGTTGAGTAAATATGTCCTTAGCAGCTTCATGAGGATTCATACATTAGCAAATCCACCATTCAAAGAAAATATGCTTGGTACCCTCTTTATATTTGTAGAATTGTATACCCACCACTGCCCGTATTTTATTTTTCAAGATTTATTCACGTGTATGTTTGTTTTGCTTGCAAGTATGTCTGTGTACCATGTGTGTGCAGTGCCCAGAGACCCCAGAAGAGGGCTTCAGAAGGGCAGTCAGTGCTTTTAACCACTGGGCCTTCTATCCAGCCTGACTGTTTATGTTCTTGTGACATCATCATCTCAAAAACCTCATGTTCACTGGTAGCCTGCCCTGCCTTTCTCCCTTCCACTGACCTACTGGTTGTCAGGAATCTAATTTCTCTTTCTATGCATTTGACTTTCATGAACTTCATATAAATGGAATTATAGAGCATGTGCTCATGCGCCGGCTCTAGTGACTTAGCATAGTATTTTGAAGTTTTATTCATGTTGCATCATTGATTATTACCAGGTAGTATTTCATTGTAAAGATGTACCATGGTAAATAAGGTATGTATTTTGGAATGCTTTATGTTTGGGCTGTTAGAAATCATACGGCTTTTGTGGACACACACATTATGTAGACATGTTTTTGTGTACCTACCAGTGAAATTGTTGGGCCAGATAGTCATTCCAAATTTAATATTCAGAATTTTAAAAAATGATTATTTTAATTATTGGAAGAGGGGTCTGTGAGCATGAGTGCAGATACCTCTGGAGGCCAGAAGAGTGTGTAAGATCCCTTGGAGCTAGAGTGATCTGGATGCTGTATGTGGTACTTGGTTCCTCTGGAAGAACAGCATATGCTCCTAACCACCGAGCATCTCTTCAGCTCCTTCAGTGGGTTTTAAAAAACATTTTCTTCTGATTAAAGTTAATAACTTGCAGATCAAGGAAACTTGCTGAGAAGACCTTGTATTCTGTGCTTTGAATTTTGTGCTAGCCAAAGACAGGCTTTTAGAACTCTGACCAACAAGTTAATGTGCTCATGTACACTGCCCTTAGAAAGCCAGTGTGGCCGGGCGGTGGTGGCGCACGCCTTTAATCCCAGCACTTGGGAGGCAGAGGCAGGCGGATCTTTGTGAGTTCGAGGCCAGCCTGGTCTAGAGAGCGAGTTCCAGGAAAGGCACAAAGCTGCACAGAGAAACCCTGTCTCGAAAAACCTAAAAAAAAAAAAAAGAAAAGAAAGCCAGTGTGCCTTGGCTAGACCTGACAGAGTATTATTTTTGCCTTTCAAAGGCCAGAGTGGCATTTTCATTAAAATTACCACAGTATGTAAACAGAACTGTACCACCAAAGTGCTTGACGTTATGAGATGATAATGAAGCCTCATTTTATTGGAGTACAGTCGTAAGAAGGTGCTGGCCGTGCAACCCACCCCTCGTTGCAGATAATGTTCATGCCTGGGTGTTTACTTGTATAGCAAGCATTTTTCAGATAAATGTTGCTTTTGCCCCCCAGGGAAGAAACGAGAATATATGATTTGTGGGTGCATGTATCTTTGTTCCAGAAGCCCCTCAGAAGGGGAAGGAGCAAACTCAAGTCCTTGAACTTAGTGCCTCTAGTTTGGTTTGATTTGTTCTATCCCAGTTCTTCTCTTGTTTCTTTCTGTAGTTTTAGGAGTTGAAAGAAAGAATACACTTCTGGTTGCTCAGCATACCTCATTTTCCTGAAAAGGAGTAGAGCCTAGAAGAATCATGTGACTAGCATCAGAAGCAGGTGGAATCTGGGGCTAGTCATTAATTTAGGATGGAGGGAATCTCTTACCTTGTATTTTGTGTCCATTTCTACCTGGTGCAGAAAACATATACCAATACAATTTTCAGTTCGTGAAAATTTTTCAGGTGTAAAGGAAGTTTTTGTGTTAGCAGCATTATTAAAATGATGGAAATCTGACCACCGCTCCCCTCTCCCCTTAGTGTCGTGCCCAGACTTGCTCTCTCTGCTGTGAACTGAAAGGAAAACCCATGGACACAGGCGTCAACATTCTCTGTGTCTTACTTTCTTTTCCAATTTAACTCTTCTCTTTTTATCCATTAACTATATTTTCACTGTGTCAGAAGAGAACAGAGGTCTATAGAAAAGTTTTAGTCTCTGTAGGACATATGTCATATATAGTCTTTGCCTTAGCTTGTCGCCTTTGCTCTCACAGTTGGAAAGCAACAGTAGATGGAATGTTTCTGTGCTTTAGTGAACCCTTGTTTTAGACACTGAATTTTGAATTCCATATGATGTTCACAGCATTAAATATTTTTGCTTTAAATTTTTCCAGGCATTAAAAAATAGAAAAATCTACTCTTAGACTGTTTTTCAAGGACTATACAAAACCAGTAGTAGGCTACTGGCAAGTAGTGTGTAAACTTCTGGCAAAAAGAGTACTGTGTACCAGTGAAAGTTGAGCAAGCAAGCAAGTGGATTTGTTTTTCCATTCCCTTCTGTCTTCTCGATTTTCCTTTTAAAAAATGTTAAGTTGAGCATGGGACTATACCCATGTAATCCTGGTACTTGGGAAGCTGAGGCAGGGGAATTGCCATGAATTCAAGGCCAGCCTGGGCTCTGTATATCAAGACTTAGTTTTAAAACAACATCAACAACAAAAAAAATGTTCTCTTGTATAACCTCTAATTACTACACTGTAAATTGGGTAAGAGAGCTCAGTTCTGTCTGAGCTAGATGTTTGGCTTAGCCTCTGTTTAATTCAATTTTCTCATCTCTGTTCATCATCTTAGCCTTAACGTTCTAGTGTCTCTATTTAGGAAAAGGTTGACTGAGTTTGTGATTGTAGTTGGGGGTGGAGTGGCATTTGTTTAATGTTATTTAATCCAAACTTTCTGACACATGCCCAGGCTTTGTTTTAACCTTGGGAATAGGCCAGTCATTGCTTCATTGAATTATTGCTTCATTGACTCATTCTATTCCAAGTAGAAAACAGAACAAATGCGTTTGTCTGATGACCTGCAAGACTAGAATGATAGGGAATTTGTGGCAGTTTACTAATAAGTATAAATACAGAATCCATTTGAAGAGAAACCTGTGGTTGATTTCCTGTTTTCTTAGTCCAGGTGATCTGATGCTTGGTGTGCCAACCAAGCTGTTCATATTTCTTACTCCTTAAGACTACTTAGCATGTGCTAGAAGTCCAACTTTAGAGAATAAGTGCTTTAAAATCATGGTACATACAGGAATTAGGCAATATTAAATTTGATGTTCCATGATAGTCTCAGGAAAAACTTGAATGTTAAGTGCCACAAAGTTCTGCAAATCTCTAGGTTGATAATTGTTTACAATCCAGGAGGCAAAGTTGTGAATATACTTATAAGGTTCCCTCACATATAGCACTTATGATTGTGATTTGTTAAGTATTGCCAAAGTCTTATTAGCAGTTAGAACTCAGTACTAAACATTGATTCCTCTTACATATTTGTCTAATTTCAGGGGTCTCTAGATTGTCTTCTGGGGCCTTTTCACCCTTGGGGGTGGAGAGGGATGCTCAGAAATGTCTGGCATACAAGTACAGCCCCAGTTGAACATTACTCTTATTGCTTAATAACTTCAGATTCTGATGTCCTATCATTGAAATAAGGAGTAGACAAGGATTCAGGCTCTGTTTCTACCTACTCAGCTTACATAATAAAAGCTTTGGGAATAGCATCATACAATAATTTAAGTTGGGAAATGTGGGTTTATTTCTGAGACCTTGAAAATTTGAAAAGACTGTACAGATTATGGAACATCTTCACTTTATAGAAATGATTCAGGGTAATTAAATACCTTGTTTCACCATTAGTTAAACTGTCATCTGGGTTGTAACCCAAGCTTGTGCTGTTGAATGTTTCTGTTATACTGTTGTTCTTTCCTAAAGAGTCGCCCTAAAGGTATTCACTTGGTTTAGGGTGAGTTTTCCTCTTTAAGACAAGTGTCCCTAAATGGTTCTTTTTTACATACTTCGAGTCTAACCTATTACATTAACTCTTTATGCTTTCTGTTACAAAAGGAGAAATTTCTCTTTCTGTTTAGGATCAAAGTTGATTTATTTGGTTTTTTAATATCTTATATTCTTATTTAATTTATTTAGCTGCATCTAAGTAACATCAAGATAGTATTTATCCTAATATTTTTCTAGACTTGAATTTTTTTCCCTCCATAAAGAATGGCATGAGGGGGCTGGAGAGATGGCTCAGAGGTTAAGAGCACTGACTGCTCTTCCAGAGGTCCTGAGTTCAATTCCTAGCAACCACATGGTGGCTCACAACCATCTGAAATGAGATCTGGTGCTCTCTTCTGGCCTACAGTCATACAAGTTGTACACATAATAAATAAATAAATCTTTAAAAAAAAAAAAAAGAATGGCATGAAAAGGTATTGTGCTGCATGCCAAATGGGAAGTAGGAGAGATGATATTGTGTTTGTACTTGGAGAAACGAAGCTTGGGGACCATTTACCTTGAGAGTATGAGCCACTGGAGTGACGGAAGCATTTCAGATTCCTCTTCCCTCTCCCTTTGCTGAAATCTAAAATCTCCTTGTGTAACAGTCGTCTTTTATTTGTAAGAT